AGCGATCAGGGAAGTCAGAGAGGAGGCAGCAATCAACAGCGACACCTACCGTGTGAAAAGCAATAAAGCAATGCAACATGCAATCCACAGGCAGGCCTGATTTTCTGATTTTCAACACAACAAATCATAGGTTAGGTGCCGAGCTGATGAGCTTGGATTGTCTACAAGAGCCTAACTCCCCACAATCCCGTGAGGTGGTGGCATTTTCAATGGGAAGTAGGTGTGAAGAGCTCAGTGGGGGAGCATATTAGCCGTTGCTGTCTTCATTCGTTTGCATTTGGCTGTGTTTTGTGAGCCTTCGCGTTGAGCTGGCTGCCTATTGACCCACTGTCCTCGTCTGAGGTGGTTCATTTGTAAAGTTGTCATTGATGTTGGCCCAATGCCAACACTGGCTGTGTGCAGTTCAACAGCAACAAGCATCGGTAGGGCCAACATGCAGCTGGAGGCGATTTAGTTGTGCTTGATTGTACCTACTGTTGCATGCACCATACAACGGCACAGCGACGGAATCGGAAATGGTGTGGCGAGGAGCGCAACAATTTGCCACCGTGGGATAGAAGTTCTATGTACAAAATGGGAGTTCTAAACTATTTGAGCTTTGCTATGGTTGCTCCGCTTCACTATTTCCATACTCCTCGCGCAGTTCTTAGTTTGTCGCCTCAGTTTTATCAACAGAGGTACAGCACCCTTTTACACATTCCCACTGTGTTCTCTCTCTCTTCATCTCGTGTCCATCATTTCCAGTGCTTCTCCATTATCACACTGCTCCACAAGAAACTTGTCTTAATCCTTCACCTCAGTTTTATCTGCCGAGCTCCAGCTCCAGCTCCAGCTCCATTTTACATAGTCCCATCACCTCCGTCTCGTCATTTCTTTCCTCCTACGCAGCTCTCCTTCATCTCCTGCCTATCATTTTGACACTCCCTTCTTGCCCACGTGTCGCTCGTCGCTAGAACTTGCATTGTTTAGAGCCTACGATTTGTTTTCTTGTTCGCAACAGCAATTGTTGCTCGCCCACTGTTGTTGGCAACGTGTCGAGTCATGGTGGCATTTGCGAATAGTGTTGTTATTGTTGAAGTGATTTGCTTTTGTTGTCGAGCACCTACTTTGCTGGCACTTGGCAAAGCTTTGAGGCCATTTTGTGCGGCTTTTTTTGCTTTCTTGCTGCGCGACGCCTAGAGTTTTCCACCTTTGCTATGGAGGAGCTCTCTAGTCGGTGGCAGGTCTTTGTTGCAATTTCGAAATTAGCAATTCCGTTAAGTACTTTTATTGTTAATGTTTGCGTTTTTGTTTTGTTTTCTTCTTCGGCGGTGAAATTCCATTTTAATGCTTTGCATTTCGTAAAATTTATTGCCTTTGATGTTCGTAATTTATGCTCAACTGTCCCTTTTTTATCTACTAATCAGCCTTTGGCCGCCTCAACTCACTCACTCACTCACTTACTCTTTCACTCAAACATTCCCGTTACCCTCCCAAGCGCGCAGTTTGATCTGCTTATAGAGCTGACATTTACTGCTGTCGACGTATACCGTTATTGTTTCCATTGCCAGCTCAACTTGGCTTGAGTTGGCTCAATTTGGATTTGTTGCGCCTTTCCCGCTCTTCCTCTCTCTCTCTCTCTGCTTGGCACAATTATAAAGTTTTATTGTTAATCTAATGGCTTTTTGAGAAGTTTTATCTGTGTTGCATTAACATTTGCTTTGAAATAAATTCTGAAGGAGTTGGCAGCTTTTGAAGATTTTGCTAACGAAAATAATTTATGTCCAAGCAATGACGGTTTTGGTCATTGAAGTGCATTGAGAGAGTTGATTAACTCATTAACTTTTAATGCGTGTCTAAAAAGGGTTACTTGAAGAGCTCTTGTACAGTGTCTGAACTGAACTTCCCGATCGACTTCAAGGAGTTCTAGCCTGAACAGAGATTTACTATGCTTCGAGTGTTTCACGTGCAAAGTCCGAAGTTGGAAGGCTGTCGCTCAGAAGTATGGCTAGATTGTGAGCTTAGATTCGTTAAGATAAGGTTTCAGTGGCTTCTTTGGCGATTAGATAGATTTTGTGTTTCCCCCACCTTGTTGTCGGGATTCCACGAAGCCGTCTAAAATAACAAGTTTAACGCGCTCATCGAGCTGAGGTTGAAAAATAGCTGAGAAATTCGGCAGAAGTATGAAGAAAAAAGGCCAAGGCAAGGTAAGTGTAACTAGAGGAGGAACGTTGTTGCGAAATACGAAGCAATTGCCTCAGCTGTTGCACGGGAGCCTGATAATTCATTAAGAGAGAGAGAGAGCCAAAGCTAAAATGAGTCCAAAGTATAGCGACTATCTCTTGAAATTTAACGCAGTTACTGTAAGTACTCGAGGAGGCCGTTGAACAGAATGAAACCAAGCTCCAACTAAGAGGATTACTTTTTGAAAAGTATCGCAGTTAGCTCAGTACGGACTCGCGAATCGGTATTAACCATAAGAGATAATGGAGAGCTGAGTTTGAGAAATTTTATTGGAAATAAGACTTAGTTTCTTTATTAAGCACTCGGAAGCCTATATTGAGAGGCACGCAAATAAGAGCCGAACTCGAAGTAAGAAGAATTTTTCTTCAAATATATCTCATTTGAGAGCACGGACTCTAGAGTCCGTTATTTCTTCTGAAGGAATGAATATCAGAGACTGTAGAAGAGCAATTTCTCTTGAAATGTACAACAGCTCGAGCTAACACACAAAGCGCGGCCTAAGGTGAGTGTACATCAAAATTGGTGTACCGTTACATCACTAGCGTACAGTTACGTGTAGCTCCAGCTACTAATAATTCTAGTTTGTAACGGTCTAATTGCATTCAGGTATTCCTAATTGCCTAAATGAAGGTGAGGGGGATAACGCTTGACCACAGCTGGTGATGCTGTTGTGGCTCTATCAAGTGGTTACCACTATTGGTCTTCACACTACAGGGCAATTAGGGCTGAAACAAAAATGTATATTTGTATATCTTTCTATATATCTATCTATATATATATGTATATGTATGTACGAGTCTTTCTGAGGCATGAAATAGGATGGGTTTAAGGATGCTCAGCTTTTCAGGATTGTTGAGATGCGTTAGACAATTATTAAAACATGTCTTTCCATATTTCTCCTTTCGAACTAGTTATCCAGCTCTCTCTCTCTCTACCTCTCTGCCCCTCTCGCTTAGGTTATACCCTTCATGAGAAGAATTTTACTCAAAAAAATTTAAGTTTCCATAAGCAAAATGATGAGCTGAATTCATTTAGTTATTTCCGACCGCATGTCAGCTCTTTTGCCTGTTTTAAACTAACAGGTTCTACGTTTTTGAAATATCTGCAGGAAATTTCGAAATTCTTTTGTTAAAAACTCATTCAATTGAACACCAAAGTACTTCAAATTCGATACACTACACACTCATTGTATGTAAAATATCGAGAATAAAAGTCATTGAAATCGTTTAACTATGACGTGTGGCCGCCGTGCAACTGGTTGTTCAAAAATAGGTTTTTTGTTCAAATCTCAAACATTCAGGCAGATTTGAAGCTGAAACTTGATATTCTGAAAGCATGCTATTAGCATCATATTGTATTTGAAAATCATATAAATCGGACAACTATAACTTACAGCTCCCATACAAACCGTCGTTCAAAAATGGCTTTTTTGCCCAAAACTCGAATATTTAATTAGCTGAAAATGTGAAATTCGATAATTTGAAAGCACGTTTTGAATAACATTCATCAATTAATAATCATTCAGATCGGACGATTATTATACATAGCTGCCGTACAAACGATTGCTCGAAAACGGAGTTTTAAGTTGAAACTCGGACATTTAAGCATATTCGATGGAGAAATTTGCTAATCCAAAAGCCTACCATTAGTAAAATCTTGAAGTTGAAAATTATGAAAATCGGATGACTAATACATATACGTCCCGTACAAGTGGTTGTTCAAAAACGATATTTTGAATCAAAACTCGGGCATTAAAGCAGATTTGATTGTAAAATTGGTTATACTAAAAGGAAGTCATGAGTAAAGTAAAATCTGTAATATAAAAAACATAGATATTGAGCGTCTATAATTTATAGCTGCCGTACAAACGGTTGTTCAAAAACGGGCTCTTAGGTTGAAATTGGGTCATCCCAGCATTTTATCACAATTTTTGGTATGATTAAATTTAAAGTAGACTTCTTAGGCCTTTCTGAATGGTATACAACACCCACCGTCGTTGTTGTTGTTGTCTAGTTATTTCACAAATATGTTACTATAATTTCTAAGAGCAATTTGTTTTTTTTCTCCGCTCCTCCCCCGAAATGTGCCATAAGTTAATGGGATAATGACAAAGGGTATGACAGTAATTTGTTGTAATTAACGGTAACTGTTTATTTTTAACATAAAAATGGACACTCCGTAACTGGCAGAGCCGAGGCGGAAGATGGAACTATTAACAAAAACGCTGTGAAAGAGCTATAAATAACCACACAAGCGGAAAAGTGTGCGTGTAATTTCCTTGTCTGCGTGCGTGCTGGTGAATGGGCGTTTAATTGTGGTTATGTAATGTAAATAAGATTAATTTGAGGTAAAGTTTATTAGATACATACGTACTTACATAGATACTTACACACACACACACACACACACATGCATATTTGTGTATGTATATAGCCATTAAGTAGTTTATGCTTTAATTACGAACGCCTAAAAGGCTGTTACATCATACAAAAACACACTCGCACACACACAAACGCAAAACGATGACGCTTTGTTGGCTTTCGGGCGTAACTGCAAAGATTTGGTTACGTATACGACACGTGTGTAGGCTGAGTATGCCATAAGCACACAAACAAACAAACAAACAAACGGAGAACGACAACAATAACAACTTTGATGTTTGTTAACGCTCTGTAGTTAGTTAAATATTTGCAAGCAACATTTTTTTTATATATTTAATTAAATTCATTTGATTCACACTTTCTCTCTCTCTCTCTCTCTTTTTGCTCCCCTTACAGCAACAGGTTGTCGAACTATCCGGTTACGTTATTATTTTGGTGAAAAATGTTGAAGGTAAAACTAAACTCTACGGCTCACCGCCCGATCGTGATAATCTGGAAGTGGGCGATGAGATACTCGAAGTTAACGGTTTGACGTTGGAGAATATCCCATATGCGGAAATTATCAGACATATATATGAGGTGTGTATTAATATTATATTAGGGCGGTATATATATATATATATATATATATATTTTGTTATTTTTAAAATTTTTTAAAAACATTTTATATTGCTTTGAGTAATAATACTAAAATAAATGATAATAAATAAATTTAGCCTAAAAGCCTAAAGTTTGATATAAATATATTTAAATAAATATTTTTTAATATAAAAACTTGCAAATTTTTTAATAAGAAAATAAAATATTTTCATATATTAAATTTTATATTCATTAAAAACTCATGAAAGTATTATAAAAGTTTTGAAAATATTTGTATTTTGGATGAGTGTATAAGTTCCTGCCCGATTCCGCTGGATGCCGTTCGAATCGTTTGAGAGTGGCGCTCGTGAAAGAAATATATACATATTATATATCGTTGGAAAGGTAACAGTCCGAACTGTAAATCAAGCATAAAATAACTTCATTTTGATTTGAGTTGCTCAGTGAAAAGACGCATGGAAGATGGACAACGAAAAAGATCATATGCGTCATATTATGTTATACGAATTCCGCAAAGGAAAAACAGTAGGCGCTGCAACTAAAGATATTCGCGAAGTTTATTTAGACCGTGCTCCAGCACTCCGCACAGTAAAGAAATGGTTTGCGAAATTTCGTTATGGAGATTTTAACCTCGAAGATCAACCTCGCAGTGGACGGCCTTCTGAGCTTGATGACGATGTTCTAAGGACTTTAGTTGCGAATAACTCACGTATTTCGACGGAAGAGGTTGCCAGTGAATTGAACGTCAACAAATCAACTGCGTTTCGTCGTTTAAAAAAAGGTTGGGTACACTTTGAAGCTCGATACATGGGTGCCACACTAGTTGAGTGAAAAAAACCAAGTGGACCGTATGTCAACAGCAATTTCTTTGCTTCGACGAATCAAAAACGAACCTTTTTTGGATCGGCTCGTGACTGGTGATGAAAAATGGATCCTGTACAACAATGTTCAACGCAAAAGAACATGGAAACAGGCACACGAAGGGGCGGAACCGATGTCGAAAGGTGGATTGCATCCGATGAAGGTACTGCTGTGCATTTGGTGAGATATCCGAGGTGTGATCTATTTTGAGCTCTTGCCAGCTAGAGAAACGATCACTGCCAACAAGTATTGTCAGCAATTGGTCGAATTGAAGAAAGCAATTGTTGAAAAACGTCCAATTTTGGCCAATCGCAAAGGAGTTCTTTTCCATCATGACAACGCCAGGCCACATGTTGCAAAACCGACCCTGGCCAAACTGAAGGAAATGAATTGGGAAATCATGCCACATCCCCCATATTCACCTGACATTGCACCTTCTGATTATCATTTGTTTCGATCGCTGCAGAACAATTTGAATGGAAAAAAATTTAAAAATGTGGAAGACGTCAAAAACCACCTTGACACCTTTTTCAACGAGAAATCGCGCGATTTCTATGAGTCAGGCATCCGTAAATTGGTTGAATGTTGGGAGTGGATTGCCGAACATGATGGCGAATACATAATTGATTAATAAATGCGCTTTCTTCAAAAAATTTCAATTTTAGTTTGCACTTGAAATCGGGCACGAACTTATGCACTCATCAATAGCTAAAAGCTGCGCTTATAATTACATAAAATTTATATATTTTTATATAAATTTCTACAAAATGTTTTACATTTTTTTAAATTATAATACTAAAAAATTAATAAAAATAAATAAAATTTATTGAAAGCCGAATTTCGATGTAGAAATATTAAAATAATTTTTTTTTTTGAAGTAAAATATTTTTATACATTAAATAAAATCATTAAAGTAGTGTAAAATGTTCACATCAAAAAAATCATTTTTACAAAAGACTTTGGAAAAAAATGATTACATTTTGAAATTCTTTGTTTTTTAATATTTGAAGTTTGAAAATTTTGAAACGTTAATAAATTAAAATATTTGAATTTTACTATAATTTTTTAAGATATATTTTTTTCTCCGAGTTTTTTATTAAATTTTTATTAATCTAACTTTTCTACTTCTTCTTCTTCTTTGCAGTTTTTTTTTTTAAATTTTTATTAATCTAACTTTTCTACTTCTTCTTCTTCTTTGCAGTGTATAAAATCCTGCACGATATGCCTTCGCGTTCGTAAAAAAAGCGAATCGAAATTGGGTGAGTGTGAGTACCTGCATTTTTTCTCTTTTTTATACATCAAAGAGATTTTTTTATTGTCTTAATTTGTTTTAGAATCTTAATAACTAATAAATTACTACTTTAGTCCACTAGTAGCAATGGTCGTCAGGTAAAACGTTGTCCTTCAAAATACTGGCAGATCCCTTCTCCGCAGGCGAATTCGACTTTTTGGGCAGGATAAAACTTCTGTTAGAGGATTCGGCTGATTTTGCAGTTTCGACAGGTGTTTTGTCAGGTGTTTCTCACTTCCGCGTACGTCGGAATGTCTTCAGTAAATAAGATATATAGTCTTGGTCCCAAAACGCTGCCTTGAGGAACTCCAGCCATGATTAGACACTCTCCTGAGATAAATTCCTTTTCTTTAAGTGTAAACCTTCTGTTAATAAGGTATGGTATGAAGATTTGATGGACATTTTTTTCAAGGTCATTTTAATTTTATATACAAGTCCTTCATGCCATGCTTTATCGAATGCTTGAGTCACGTCAAGAAATATTGCCGAGCAATACCCATTCAACTCATATACCTTCTTGATTCCAATGGTGATACGATAGACTTGTTCTATGGTACCATGGTTTTCGCGAGCACCAAATTCGCAACAGAAATTCTCTTTATTAATTGGTTAAGCTTGGAGGGTGCTCTGAAGATCCTCTATTCATTCATTAAAGTGGGATATCCAAAATTTCACCGTAAATGTTCGTTTGAGCAGAGCATTTCTAAAGGGTTACAAGTAATGGTCAGCCCTGACTAATAAACAAAATCATTTTCTTAGAAATATGCAGATTTCTTCCTGCTCCTGATCAGTCTGTGGTCCTTACTTATACTTTTTGGCTTCCGTTGGTTGGAAACAATCTTTTACAGCAGGTATTTGCTATATCTTTCTGTTTCTTTCGCTTTGTTGGTTATTCCTTTTCAATATTTGTGTACTCTCAGGTCTTATTGAAGCTTGAGGCACTCTTGGAGCGTTCTCAGTAGCTGTTATTTGCCACACTCGAGCTACTAGAAAGCTTCTTTGAGTATTTCTGTCCCTTTTTTGGTCTTTGCCGAGTTTAAGTCCGCTAAATTAGATATTATAAGTCCACTCTCGCTTTCTCAGACTTAGACTCAAGCTCTCTAACTGACACATGGATCGTTCTTTTGCGGTCAGTGGTCTTTGTGAAACACGTCGGCTTGAGTTCCAGCAACATAGAGGGTTTGCATGCTGAGACCTTTCGCTAAATGTTTTTTTGGAAGCTACTTGTAGCTCTCTTCCTAAATTCACACGTGTCTTAGCATTTCTTAAAGCTTTATTTCATCTAAAAAATCAGCAATTCTCGTTCCCCCATTCAATATTTCCACACTTCATTCATTTAGTAATGACCACAAACGGCAATTAGACAAGCTCTCACCGCAAACGCTTCAAACCAACTCGACTCGCACTGCATTTTCCTTTGAATTCTGAGCCTTTTTTCCTATTTCGTATTGAGTTTTTTCCACCTTTCTTGCTTGCATGTCTCATTAAGCACTCATACGCCGTGTGGGGGGTCCGGCAATTGTCATACACAAACTCTCGTACCTGTGGCAGCTGAGCCTGAGATCCGCAAGCACGCTTTATGCCACGGCAAAATGCCAGCAATTAGCAATGCCATCAGTTGGCAATCATTCGAGCAGCGCCGTTGCTGCGGCTGGGAGCCTACGTGTAACCACAAAAGCAACTAATACCAATTGCAGCCTGCATAATCCATGCGAAAATCGCAATTCACACGGCGCTAAAACACGTGGCATTTAACTTTCCTCCGTTGGCGGCTCGCGGCTAGCGGCATAACTTTCAATGAGCTTGTTTGTACTTATGTATGTTTGTATGTATGTTTGTCGGTAATAGGAGTTTGGTGAGCTTAGACAAGTTTCGCAAATGAATGCACATTTAATATTTCCTCTCCCCACAAGGCGAGCTATCGTCCCTGCGGTGGCCTGCTTGTTGCATGCTACCTGGCGGCTCACCTGTCGTGGCATTGGCGAAATCATCGCTTAGTGTGGGCTTCCGTTTCCGTTGGTTCATTTGCTATTTGGAGATGAGCGCTCCTGCTCGGTCGTTATGCTGGCCTAATTGCCAAATGCCTTCTAACGCGGTTTTTGCATTTGCTTTTTTTTTTGTAGTTATTTCAGTTGAGGACGAGCAATTTTAATATGTTTTTTTTTCGCCTCGGGCAGATCTAACGGGGTTATGATGTGCAAAATGGACGCTTGAATTTTTTATGGAACTAAATTAGTTTTGCGGTAGTGTGTTGGCTGAAAAGGGGGGAGGAACAGTGGGAGAATAAAACGCTGAGCTTACCCTTCGTGATGAGCCCACACGCTGCATTTAGCTCAGCTCATACTTCGGTGCTACACGGCACAGTTGAGCAAACTAATGGTGCTCCCTGATACTTTGGTGTGGTGGGGTACTGCGGTCAACAAGGTCTTTTACCGAGCTCCTTTGGAGAGGGTTCAGTGGCTCATTGTACTTTGTACACCGGATGGACTTCAGTATCTACCTTTGCAAAACCTTTCTGTCATAGCTCGATAAACAAGGGGGAAGTGAACACAACTGGCTCCGTGCTACTCGGTTCTATATGGAATTTTTTTTGTGCTACCTTGAAGCGATCGTAAGATTATGGCAACTCTCTATCTAGCGGCTTTGGAAGAAGAAGCTTGATTGTTAGTTTTGAAGGCGTTCTTGTGCTCCCATACTCTAGACGAACCTACATCTGGGTATACAATGATCACTTTGACAGTTTAAAAGTTCAAATCTGTACAAAATAAGCGCTTAAAATTGAAAACTTTCACTGTTTAAAGATACAACATACCAAGAAGTGACTTTGCTCTAAGAATTATTATTCAAAAATATATAGCTTCAAGATGTTGTTCCAAGAGAGGCCTTGGTTGCAAGAAATATTGTTCCATGAGACCTTGTTACAAGGGAATTTTTTTCAAGATACCCTGTTTTTAGAGGATGTTATTTGAAGGGTCATTGCTACAGGAAGTATAACTTCAAAGAGTATTATTCCAGAAGATAATGCTTCAAGAGACATTGTTCCAAGATAAATTATTTCAAAAGACACATTGTTCCAAGAGACTTTGTTTCATGAGACGTTGTTTCAAGAGATCTTGCTCTGAGAGGCGTTGTTGCCAGAGACATTGTTTCAGCAGACGTTGTTCGAAGGATCATTGCTCCAAGAATTATTATTTCAAAAAGTATCATTCCAGAAAGCATTGCCCAAAGAGATGTTGCTCGAGGAGGCATTGTTTCAAGAGATCTCTGTTCAACGAACCATGTGTGAAGGTTCATTGCTCTAGGGAGCATTATTCCAAGGAACATTGTTTCAAAAGACTTTATTTCATGAGAAATTGTTCCATGGAAAAATGTTTCAAGAGATATTTCTCCAAGACACCTTGTTTCAAGGAAGGGACATTGCTTTAAGAAGCATTATTCCAAGACATTTTACACCAAAATATATTGCACCAAGAATCATTGTTCAAAGTTACTTTGCTTCAAGAGACAATTTTCCAAGAAACATAGTTACAGTAGTCATTGCTCCAAGAATCCGAAATATAGTATAAATATTTTTTCTAGCGGTAGCTTTGAGTTGTCTTTGTTGACCATGTTCTGCTAACTTTCCTTGTTTTTTTAAGTTTTCTTCACATTAAAGTTTAGTTTTTTCCTCCTTCTCTTTTTCTCTGCAATAAACTTGACATATTTTCATTTTATGAGTTAATCTATTCATTGAACTTGAGTCCAATACCTCGACGGACATAATCTAAAATCAGTTAACAGGGCGTTGACTTTAAGTCTTTAAGTATTTGTTATGCTTTTATGCCAGCTGTGAATGCTGTGAAGGTCTCTAGAGAGGACAGAGAGGAATAAATGAAAGTTAGAATCACAAACAAAAATCTGAGCAGAGAGAGTGTAGAGCTATTATTCGATTCTAAGCTTGAAACTGGAGCGAACGAAAATAGGCTTTAAACAGAAGACTTAAATTGTCAAGAGAGAAATGTTAAACGGTTGATTTAAAGAGAGCACAGAGCGAGCAGAGAAACTTATCAAGCCGGCGTTACTTATATTATATTATTAAAACGTTTGGAATGAGAGCTATTGGTTGTCTTTAACATATTAAAGAATGTATGCTGGAGTTGAGCGCGAGCTTGAGACTAAACATCAAAACCCATTATTAAGCAGTAAAACAGGAGGAAACTACGTTTAGTTGGAGCTCTGGGCTCTCAGTTCTGTCCTCTCAACTAGCTAGCACGTTCAGTTTGTTGCTCAGCGTTTAGCAAGCGCTTGAGAGCTATGCGCTCAGCTTATAAGAGATCAGCGACACGACAGCGGTCTAGAGTACTCAACGCCAGTTAAGAGCGCAAGTGCAACGAAAACCAACCATTGGCCAGAAAGTGAGTACAAAGCAAAATAAGAAATAAATGTTGTAGGAAATGTAGAGAACGGCTGAACTGAACTGAAGGGAAAGGGGAAGGGGCAAACACGGTCGCTACATGGCTGACTGCTTGTTGAGTATTTGAGCTGACTACTCGCCGCTAACTAATGGCTTGTTGGAGCTTACTGATTTTGCGATGCGGACTTATTTGTAGCGCTCATACGAGTACATACACGACCAGCTCATTTGGAGGTCTTTGTTGGCTGTCTCAATGGAAACTATAGAGTGCGCTAAAGATTAACAGCAAAGCATAAGCTGATGACTCGCAAAGCACACACAAGCAGTTTGACTCGCTAACTGATTGCGCTGATTGCTTTTGGTCGGCTCATTCGTTTGGCTGGTTGGCTCGTTAGCTCGTTAGCTGGCTGCGTCGAGACCTTCATACGTACATAGTATGGCTTTAAGAGCGACGCATCTGTTCAATACCGCTCATCTACTGATTTTCAACATGGAGCGGCGCTCCGTCGGCCAACAGTTGATAGTCAAAACAGTTTAGTTAATGTTGAACGGCTCGGGTAGGCGGTCGCGTGGAG